CTTGCCGTGCGGTTTAAATGCTCTCTCTGATGCGTATAGTCAACCGACATAAACTCTGCTGCTCACAGTCCCATCAGTGTGGTGTTCAGCCGCCGCAGCTTCGGGCTCAGCCAAAGTCAACCTGTGAGTTCAACTTCCAGCGCGGCGAGCGGAGACAACGTGAGTCACCGGGTGAAACATTCAGGTCCGACATCCAGAGGGAGAGTCGGTATATTAAACCACTCCAGCTGAACTTATTGGATCATATTACTTTATATCATTCTTATGCAATACGCTAGATATTTACTGAGGGTTTGTGTTGTCCTCATAATAAGGACAAACACCTGGAGGTAAAGGGAGTTGCATGTTTGGTCTCATGTAAGACGTAACGCGGTGTTCCGCTCTGCACCAATGAAACTTCATCGTTTTCTTTCCCTCCTGCTTATCTTGAAATGTTTAGCTCTGATATTAACTAATATTTCCTCACATACTGTTCCAAAAGTATCTGCAACTAACGCTGATTTCATTCTCATTATGTATGATTTTGTATCAACAAGAGTATTTATTTTCTTGTCTGTGAAATAATATAATATAATGATATATATGATATAAAGAAAGCTTGTTATTTTGGTGATGCCTTCAGGTGTCTTGCTTTATCCGACCAACAGTCCAAAACTCAGAGAGAATTCATTTACTATCATTTACGACAAAGAACAGCGACAGATATTCCCATTTGAGAAGCTGACACCAGTACATGTTATCACTCAAACGATGATCGACTCATCACTGCGGTTCTTCTTCTCCTAAAACAGTTCAGCAGCATAACACAGCTCATCTCTACTTATCTCACCTCCGTTGGGCTTTTTTGACGCATGCTACCAAATCTTCAGATCTCTCTTCACTTCCACTTCATAACAGGTGATCTGCGGCTTGTTCACATCTTCAGTCTCAGTGTTTTGAGGGTGCACTCGTGTTGCGTTCTGCTTTTAGCGCCTGCTATTCTCTAATCACGTCATCTGTTACTGTCTCGTTATGTGCAGCCAGCGATTAATAAAGTCTCAATCCTCGTTGTTGGTGGAAAAAAGCAATCCTGATTCTACGTGTTTTGGGTTTTTTTTCCTGCACAAAGCACTGATGGCCCATTATCAAAATGAATATGGTCACATACGGTGGACTCATAATACAGCGTATGTACCTAATGAGCTGTAGGCTATGGTCGGCCCTCCCACTAACTCCCATTACCAAACAAAAACATATCCAACCAAACCGCCACCCACTCTGCTTATCTGAGACATGTGAGGCTAGCAGCATTACCCGACCGCTCAATTAAAAACACCAGCACTCGTAACAAAACTCTGCTGTGACTCTGCAGCCAAATGTTTTTAATACTAGAGACAAAGAATAAAAGTTACATTGTTTAATATTTAAACAGCATCCGGAATCAGCAAATGTTGACATTCTCAATTCAGTGTTTGTTGGGTTTGATGAAAAGTAAAAGCAAATATGTTGAGAGGTATTTCTACACCATTTCAGCACTCATAGTAACTTTGGGGTTTTTCTTCCTTTTACAACCCTAGAGAGGAACATTGGTATATTTATGTAACACACACTGACCACAAAACTATCAGTGTCAGTAGCTGCAACCTTCCATCACGCAGACTAATGGAACGGTTCTGGACATCCTTCCTCGGACCCTCAGTGTTTTAGGTTAAAGTGCTTTTAAAAGTGTTTGCATCGTCATGTTGGTGTGCGCACAGCGACACACTAGGTTACTGTAAAAGCGTACTATATTTATGGTGCGGCTGCAGAGCCAACTAGTCCATTTAGGAACAGGTGTAGTGAAGTGAAAACAGCTGTGGAACAGATGACTTCTCTATCAGGGGGCAAAATAATTAGCCTCCCATTTCACTCTATCGAGTGTCGCCTTAAACGGATGCAGAAAGCAGCTGAAGCACCCATTCTCCTCAATATCAGACCCCCTTCACTTCGGCAAAAACCTGCACAAACTGTCTGCAGAGTGAATTTAAACGGGACATTCTTGACTTATTCAAGAAGCAGTGGGCTTCTTGGACAAAATGAGGATGAACTAGAGAGAAACAATTCATTCCGTTCATGCTTTTTTACTGAAATATGTCCAGCAACCGCAAAAATTATATTTCTCTCTATTTTCTCGAGGTCCCGATTTTTTATTTTTTTTATTTTTTTGGCTCTGACACCACTGAAGGAAATAGAAAAGCATCAGCTCTTTGAAAAATATGTTGTAGAAGAAACACGTCCAGCTCCCGCAGAGCAACGGCCTTTCAAAGTTAGTCGTTTGGCGACCAGTCAACTCTGAGGCTTCCTGGCCATTGAAATATTTTCAATATTATTGTATAATATTTTCAGTTAGCCCCGCGTTGAATGTCTAAATAAATGAGGAGACGAGTGTCTCGATGGAACGTCATAGTTTTAAAGACTTATTGTAAGTTAGAATGGATTTCATGAGATGAAGAACAAATACAGGATAAGTAGTGAATATCTCATCAGAACCTGAAACAAACAGGGTTAATACTTCTTTAAGAAGAATGAAATGAATTTAGCTGAAGGACAAACACCCCAGACCAGAACACATGTACTGCTCATTGTGAGAGTTCAGGGACAACACGTCTTCTTTCAGTCTAGTGGAAGAAAAACTCTCAAACACATTCAGGTGTTCACTTTACTACTTTTGTCTGTTTGCATCAGTAGATTTCTCCTAAATTCCCCAAAGGTTACTATTAGATAATTCCTCATTTGGATATTAAAAAATTAAAAAATTAAATTTCAGAAAAGTTTAATGTGAGTGATGAAGTGGTGAAGTCTCATGGTGATATCTATGAGTTCATGTGTTCACCTGTAGAGTCTCTAAATGTCTGTAATGGAACTAAACGTCTCTTTAAAGGACGTTTCCTCTAAATGAGTTTGTTCTCAGACTCTGATGATAAATCTCCACTTCAGCAGCTCTTACATTCACCAAACTCTACACGTTCATTCCTCTCTGTGTGCTGAAGGCACACAGAGAGGAATGTGCTGAAACCCCACAGAGGGGTTTGTTCACACATCATTCACAGACTCATTTATACTATATTTTAGTAATAAAACATGACAACATTAAATTTTATTTTACTACGTTTTACAGTTCGGAACTATAGTTCCAACATGAAACTGATCACAAGAAGCTCTGTGCATTATTTGGAGTAACCGGGTCATGATTTCTAGAAAAGAGACGTCGCGGTTGAGTTTTCCCAAATGTTTTTCTTCGGGGCTTTAAAGTTGAGTGGCATTATGTTGGAGAGAAGGCAGACATCTACATCTCTGCGGTCAGTACCTCCAACACTGGGCCACTCGCACCAAAAACACTTAGATGGATGAATAGATCTACAGATAAGAGGAACAATATGTAGTTTGGATTTTGGAGTGAACTGTCCCTTTAACACCCTGTTTCAGCTTCATCGCGCTGCCTTCGCAAGTGAATACAATGCTTTTGCACCCCCTCCCCCCCCCCCCCCCTCACCCCCGCTGAGACTGCCGACACCCCTGCCCTACTCACCCCGTCAACCCCCCCGAGTTTTTCTACATTTTGGGGGTCCAGTGAATAAAATGACTGGACTTTTTCTGGAAAATGAACGCTGTACCAGGATCAGCTGCTAGTGTAATAAAGTGACTGTACATGTAAGTGGATTTAGTGTAAAGTTACTCTGAGGCTGCAGCTCATGGCGCTGAAGCTTTAACATATTAAGAATAGAGTGTCGGAGCTCTGAGGAGAGCGATAGAAAGGATTCTCTGAGGTCGATAACGCCTTCTAATTATGAGACATGCTAAGACTGAAGAGCTGTGAGAATGAAGGATTAAAAAACTGATAAAAGAGAAACTCGGATCTACGCAGTGATGCACTGTATTTGAGCATCGGGGTCGAGGAGACCTTCATCAGAGCAGCAGGATGAAGGAGAGACGGATTTGTCCAAAACCAGCAGAGGAATTACACTCAGAGCAGAGGAGCTGTCCTTTCAGCACCACCTCTCTCTCTCTCTCTCTCTCTCTCTCTCTCTCTCTCTCTCTCTCTCCATCTTCCCTTTATGTCTGTCGCTCGCCTCGCTCCCTGTCCAAGCCCCTCACACATATTCATGTTACACCCCCCCCACATACACACACACACTCAGTCAATTTCCTGTAAAAGCAACAATAAAGTATCGCTGAGAACAAAATCTTTTTTTTTTCACAAGAGGCCAAGAGAGCAGCATCAAAACATCGTTCCCACAGCAACCGTACATAAACAGAACAAGACACCTGGTGCATGCTCTGAAAAAAAATACAGTTCGGATGAAAGAAGAGAATCAACAACTAAACCCAGAAGCAGAATTTTAGCCAAACAACACAGAACCAGCCTTCTTTTAACAAACCTGTTAAATCCTGCTGCAGGAATGCTGTTGCCCAGACGACAGCAGCAGCTGATGAAACCTTCAAAAGCTTCTCACTGTTTATTTGACCCTGGACTGTTCACATCAAACAATGAACATCTTCTAATCAAACTCAATGAACATCAACATGAACCCTCAGAAACACATCCAACCTGCTGATATTTCAGGATTCCTCGTCTCTTCTGTGGGACTCAAGAACCAGCAAATATTGATGTTCAGTGTGCACACAGGTCTCACAGCAAAGCAAGAACACACGGACACGCACTGTGATTTGCAGTTATTGGGGCCCGCTGAGCCGACCTGACCCCCTCTCGGTCACACACCACCCGAGACTCTGAGTGGGGTTTCCCCTTAAACATTTGTTTTTTAAATGAAAATTTAAAAAACCCCGGGCTTGCACTGCAGGAATTGGATCTGGGTGAGGAGAAGTGGTGGAGAGCGCGTGAGAGGGAGCAGGCCGCCCACTGCACGAGGAACGCGGGGTTACATAAGAACTAAAGATGATGCTGGCAAATAAGTCATGAGAGCGCAGTGAGTTGTGTCTGTTTCAGCGGTGAGAAGGACCTGAAGCCGACACCCTCTTAC